GATCATTGTTCACGCCAACTTGGTGTAGTAGAGCTTTCAATTGACTCTCCACCAATCGTAGCCTCGATTCACACTCCGTTCCTTTCTTCCCTAAGTCAAGGAACATCTTCAAGACTTCCCTATTATGCTCTTCTTTCTTAGTAGACATTGTGGTCATATCACCTTGGATTGATCCTTGTCCAAGTAACAAGGATTCGGCCCTTTCATAAGCTTTCTTGTGAAAGTCATCTAATTTGGTATCAACATTACCAAATTGATTTTGGACTTTCTCAAACTCTTGAAAGACATCTCCTCTCAATTCTTGAATTTCTTTTCGTACATCCCCAATAATGTTTTCTTTCAAAGCATTAATATCAATGGGAGTAGAATGTACCTCCTTGTGTGGTTCCTCTCATGGTTGTCTCGGCATGGATGATTCTGGTGGTTCCACGTAAGGTGCATTGTCAAGACACAAGGGCTCATCAAGTGTAGAAAAGAGTGGTTCGGCAGTGGCAAAGGGAATTGGTTCGGCACGGCTTAGTGGCAAAGGTGACACTTTAATTTGTAGCACATTTTCTTGTTCCTCCATTCGGTTTTCATCATCAACATTTTCTTCCACATTTTCATTCATCGAATTCGTCACATCCGTAGCCGTGTGGGGTGAAATAGCATCAAAACTTAGGTTGTCATCCCCTATGTGCGAAGGAAATGGGTCCAAATCTTGCAAGGTTCCACCTTCGTTCTCCTTCAAAAGTAATGCTTCCCCATGTGTGTCGTGCACTTCTTTCCTTGAAATAACCAATGCTCGGGCAATATCATCTCGAGCAAATCCATCTATTGTCTCAACGGCATTTTCGGGAACTTCTTGAGCCACTTCCTTGCCCCGACTAATGGCAACTTTCTTAACAAAACATTCATTAATCACCGATAGCCTATTCGCGGTAGCAAGATTTCTTGTTCCAATCCATGTTAGAGCAAATTCCTCTAACTCTAGAGTATCCGGTCCTACTGTCGTAGCAACCGAATTATGATCACTTAATCTCCAATTCCTCCAAACTTTCAGACGTTCATACTCCTTCAACAACTCACTACTTGCCCCATAAGTTGGAATGTCATCTACACTCCCAACCTTGCTTGGTAAAATTACTTCTTCATTCGGGTTTGGGGTGTGGGTTACGGTAACAAATTGATGGCTACAAGCATCATCACTACACCTTCCATGAGTGTTGGATTCCCCGTGACTAGTAGCTCGGATAGAAGGAGGCTTTTTGGTTAAGGAATGGGTTGATGTGTTTGCCGGTTTTCGTTTTCGGATATTGGCTAGGGAAGGATCAACCGGGTTTGGTGTTCGAAATAGGTAATTTTGGTTTTGTATGGGTTTTGATTTGGATAGGGCAACACCTTTAGACTTCAACAACTCCCCAACAACAAAACCATACCCAATTGTCATTTGGAAACCATCCATTCACCAACGGTTTTGCTAGCCTAACTTGATCAACCATTCGGCCATATATAAATCTTCCCCAATCTACGGCAAAATTTTTCACAATGGCATGCATCAAAGGCAAATTCTTCTTTGTAAAATAATTCATACTAGAATATTTGCACTCAATAGTTTTATGCACAATATCAAGTAGCATACCAAATTCATGCTTCAACATCACCTTAAAGTCATTGTTACACGCCGCGACTTGTGCGGTTTCGTGTCTAATTTCATTCCAAAAATCATTTAAATCAAAACCGTGATCTTCAACTTTCAACAACTTCTCCTCCAAACCAAATTTAGTTCTCACGTCATCTAACCCAATTGTCAACACAATTCCTCCAACAGTAGATTTTATAACACCATTTTCGACATATGCATGTTTATAAAATTCTACTACTTCATTTAGATAGAAACCATCATACTTGAATGAGCAAAAATTCAATAACCCACTAGTTTCAAGAGAGGTTAAGATTTTTACCCCCAAGTCTCTGTTTTGGACAAACTTGTTGTAATCTTCAACGTCCAAGATCATCCCGCGAATCACCCGTGTTGTTTTCCTCGATCCTTCGGCTCCAATTGGATTTTGAGCTCCTTCCATCTTGATAGAACACAAATTAGGATTTTTGAGGTGGGGTTTTTGGGTGAGGTTTCGGCAGTCCGAAAAAAAAAAAAAAAAAAAAAGGTTGAGGGGAGTGGGTTTTTGTTTGTGAGAGGTTTCAAGGTTAATAGTGAGGGTGGGTAATGGGTATTTGTGTGTAGAAGAGATTTTTGTGGGAAATTTGGGATGGGTTTGATTGAATTGAGAGATTTTCAAGCTATTCTCCTTCTTGCATGCGCCGGCGGTGAGAGAGGGAGGAATAAGAAGATGATCTTCTTTCTTCTTTTTCTCTTGGAGGCAAAATAAATGCCTAGCAAAATTACCATCTTGCCCTTTAGTGGATAGAAAGAGATTGTAGAACAATTGAGGGCAACTTCGAACTTTCACTGATTTAAATTTGCCAACTCAGATTTTAATACTCCATTTGTGGGTACATAGCGCCAAAAATTAAGCTTTAATTGGCTGCCACCTGTAGATGTTCATGGAGCAAAAATTTCTTCGACACAAAATTGTTAGTGCAATAAATCTATTCATGCTAACAATTTAATTTCGACATCTGATAAATCTGAGAATTAAAATTGATCGACCAATAAAATTAATTTAAACAGATAAGATCAAAATTGATGCCAGATACATTTCTAAGAAATTACATCAGATTGACTTAAGCAGGTAAAAATTAAAATTAAAGCTGATGACCATTCAGACTGACAAATCAATTTGCATGCACTGTTATCAACTTTTAGCATAGCTTATCAGTACATTCCCCCTAAATCATATAATCCCTCCACTATCATGATGCATTCCCCCTAACTTTTATAACCCTTCAAAACAATTAATCAAATTTCTACGTACCTAAGTTCGTAAGATAAAATTACTAACATGTACACAAATAAATTGTAACGCATTAATTAAATTAAATCACGTAGAACACATAGGTAACAAATTTCATGCAAATATCGTACACACATTTTTCAAATTTAAAAGTTCGAAATACTTAGCTCATTTCGATCATTCCCATTTCGTGCCTTAGAGTTGCAAAACGAGATTCACACAACGGTTTTGTGAGAATATCGGCAATTTGATTTTCTGTGGGAACATGATCGATCTTCAAATATTTCTTCTCGACGTGGTCTCATATAAAGTGATTTCGGACGTCAATGTGTTTGGTTCGCGAGTGGAGCACAGGATTTTGGGTTATTGCAATTGCGCTAGTATTATCACATAAAATACTGACATTTTCGCATTTAATCCCATAATCCAACAATTGTTGTTTCATCCACAAAATTTGTGCACAACAACTCCCAGCTGCAATATATTCGGCCTCGGCAGTGCTCGTAGCTATGGAGTTTTGTTTCTTGCTGAACCAAGAGACCAATCTTCCCCCTAAGAACTGGCATGTCCCTGAGGTACTTTTTCGGTCTATTTTTTACACCCTGCAAAATCTGCATCTGAATAACCAGTTAGTGTAAAATCTCCTTCTTTGGGATACCATAATCCCACATTGATTGTTCCTTTGAGATATCGAATTATCTTCTTGGTTGCAATCAGATGACTTTCTTTGGGCTTTGATTGGAATCTTGCACATACGCCAACCGAGTAGGATATGTCTGGTCTGCTTGTGGTTAAGTATAGTAACAATCCAATCATTCCTTGATACATCGTTTGATCGACGTCTTTTCCTTCATCATCTTTATCCAATTTTTGAGATGTACTCATGGGAATTTTGACTGAGGATTTTCCATCTATGCCAAATTTCTTGATAAGATCTCTTGTGTACTTGACTTGATTTATGAAATTCCTTCTTCAAGTTGCTTGACTTGCAGTCCCAAAAAGTAATTTAATTCTCCCATCATACTCATCTCGAACCTGTTCTGCATGAGCTTAGAAAATTTCTCACATAAAGATTTATCAGTACTTCCAAAGATAATATCATCAACATAAATTTGTACTAATAAAATGTGATTATTTTCTTGAATTCTATAGAGGGTTTTATCAACTAGACCTTTGGTGAATCCACAACTAATTAAGAACATTGACAAGGTGTCGTACCAAGCTCGCGGAGCTTGTTTTAACCCATACAATGCCTTCTTTAATTTGTAGACTTGATCACCAACGTCTTTTACCTCAAAACCGGGTGGTTGTTCGACGTAAACTTCTTCTTAAAGTAAGCCATTAAGAAATGCGCTCTTTACGTCCATTTGGTATACGATGAAATTCTTGTGCGCTGCGTATGCTAGGAAAATCCGGATTGCTTCGAGTCGTGCGACAGGGTCGAATGTCTCATCAAAATCAATGCCTTCTTCTTGCGAGTACCCCTTCGCAACTAATCTTGCTTTATTCCTAACAGTGATGCCGTCTTCGTTTGCTTTGTTCCTAAAGACCCATTTGGTGCCAATTACATTTTGGTGCGTTGGTCTTGGAACAAGTTTCCATACGTCGTTGCGCTTGAATTGATCTAATTCCTCTTGCATGGCATCTATCCAACTTGGATCGGCTAATGCTTCGTCAATTTCCTTTGGCTCCAGTTGTGATAGAAAGCATGAGAACATTGCATCTTGTTGTTGGTTCCTAGTAGATGATCGCGTCTTTACTCCGTCACTTGGATTTCCAATGACTAAGTCATGTGTGTGACTTCTTAGCCATTTTCGATTTTGTTGGAAACTTGTTGGATTCTCATAGTTTCCTTCTTGTTGAAATTCCACTTGCTGTGCCACTTGTTGAATTTCATCTTGTAAATTGTTGGTATTTCTTCGGGTTCATCTACTGGGATTTCTTCCATTTCGGGTGCAACTTCGGGTGTCGTCACGATTGGTACATCACGTGCCACAGTGGGCATTGACTCAAATTGATGAGTACCCATGTTATTTGTTTCTTCGAAATCCTGCAACATATTTTCCTCAAAGATATTGTTAGAATAATTTAATTTAGAATTACTTCCCTTATCTTTGACTTCTTTGTTGTTGCTTTCGTCGAACACAACGTAAATTGATTCTTCTACCACCATTGTTGATTTGTTGAATATTCTGTACGTCTTGCTGGTGGGTGAAAAGTCTTCGTTCGCACGTTCGCACGTTCGTCAAAAGTCTTTAAATAGGACTGTCCATTAACAAGTACAAAACATTTACACCCAAATGTATGAAAATAGGTGACGTTGGGTTTCCTCCCTTTCCATAATTCGTATGGTGTTTTGTTGTATGACTTGTGGATTAGACTTCGATTTTGAGTATAGCACGCCGTATTGATAGCTTCTGCCCAAAATCTCTTTGGTAGATCGGCGGCTGATATCATGACACGTCCAGCTTCTTTGAGTGTCTTGTTTCTTCTTGTGATGAATCACTCTCGTCACTGGATGATTCTTCGGATTCGCTTGCTTCTAACGGATCGCTTATTAGTGCCTTCCGTTTGTCCTTTTTGAATTTCTTTTCTTTCGACTTGTACTCAACCTGTGGAGAGTTAGAAGTATTCGAATTTTTGTTCACCTTGGGATGTGGACATTCGGCCATAAAGTGTCCAGGCTTTCTACAATTGTAACACACATTTGTGTAATCTTCGACTGGTTCCCTTCTTGATCTTCTATTTTCTCGAAAAGAATTTCCTTGTGGTGATCCTTTGTTCTTTCGCATGAACTTCTTGAATTTCCTAACAAATAAGGAAAATTGTTCGTCAGATAAAAAATCATTATTTACTACTGACCTTGATATAGAAGGTTGTTCGGCCATCAGTGCGGATGTTCGTTCATCACGTTCTTCTTCATTTCGTGTCTTCATCTCGAACTCATACGCCTTTAGATCACTAAAGAGTTTATCCGTAGATAATGTCCTTAGATCTCTATGATCGCGCATTGCGGTCACCTTCATATCCCAATTTGTAGGTAGTCCGCGTAACACTTTGAGCGATATTTCTTTCTGGGTAATGGTATTTCCCAGATCCGTGATTTCTCCAAGTATTTTGATCAATCGAGCTTCCATGTCGGTGATGCTTTCGTTCGGTAGCATTTTGAAATCTTCGAACCTCTTAATGGCAATGGTTAGTTTGTTGTCTTTTTCTTGGGTTCGTCGCCTTCACCGATGCTTATGAGCGTGTCCCATATTTCTTTTGCCGTGGTGCACTTTCGAATCTTTGGGAATATGGTGTCATCGACCATTTTGAACAAAATATCCTTGGCAATATTGTCCAAGTTATTTCGTCCTCTATCTTCCTTTGTCCATTCCATTTTTCGCTTTGGAATATATCGTGGAGCATTTGGATCACGTGGGGTAGCGGTATTAGCTTCCATAATTTGGATAGGACCATTTGTGATGACTTCCCACATTTCATCATTTAAAGCAGATAAGTGCACCTGCATACGTATTTTCCAATCATCAAATTTATCAAGTGAGAAAAGCAAATTTTGAGCAAGAACCATATCTCTCTTCATCTTGAAGTTTCGAGATCTGCCTAGCAGTCAAGAAATGACTCAAATAGACAACTGCTCTGATACCACTTGTGGGTCCCGAAAGGGTGGCGAGAAGTCTAGATGGGGGGTGGATAGACTTCTCTAACTTTTTCAAACTTTTTTTGCAAACAACACTTTGTAACTTCAACTCTAAGTAACAAGCATAAACAAGTATAACAAGTTAGAGTGTGCACAGCGGAATTGTAACGGCAAAGTGTTATGCTTTAAATTGTGTCGTGCTCAAGAGAGATTTTATACATGCATCACGTTAGAAACACTTGATATAGATGTAGGATGATGTATATAAAATTTCACTTGCATGCAAACGAGGGAACTATCAAACCCAAACAAATAAAGATACGCAATAAACCGTAACGGGTTAGTTCACAGATAATATAAGCATGCACGAAATATATATATGAGCAGTAAGTAAATAGACAGAGAGATTTATAGTGATTCAGAGGTGGTGTAATCCTCCTAGTCCACTCTTCTCCTTTCACTCCAAGGAGAAAATTCACTATTCTTCGATCACCCAGATACAGTAGTGAATAAGTGCCTAGCGACACTTCTCCGAGTGCTTCGCACAAAGCTACACTCCACCAAGGTTTTTCGCAAGCTCCTCTTGTTACTCCGCCTTCCCGAGTACTTCGCACCAAGCTGTACTCCTACACCACGAGAACTACGCACAAAGCTACGCTCTCACCGGGTTTTCACAAGCTCCCCTTGTTACTCTGCCCGTTACAACTGAGTGCTACGCACAAAGCTACACTCCAATTGGGTTTTTCACTCTCCCTGGTTACTCTACCCCTTTTCTACACTTAGTTGAAGATTTACAATAGAGATAAAATTTTTCTCTCACTCAGACTTGAATTTAATCGTGTATAGCTCAATATATTGCTTCTTGGCTGATTTGAATATTGTTTGCTTTTCTCTTTGTTTTTCAGTCGTATTCCAGTTGTTGTTGTCTTCAAGTCTCCTTGGGCATTTTATAGCAGATGAAAGCTATTTGCCCGTTGATCAACTTTCGATCTTGATCGTCCAATTTGAATTGTAGTTGATCAAATAATTTTGCCAACTTGGTCTGCAAAAATCATTTCGCCGTCTGTCAGAAGATTTTGAGAAATCTCGCCATTGCTCTCCTTTAATCTGACAAAGCTTTTCTTTGGAATGGGTAGCCTCCAAATTTGAATTTCTCTGGCATGACTTTTGTTGAATTATTGATCTGATGTGCCAAGTTGATCAAATAATTTATCTGCTGATTCTTGCTTGAGTATTAAAAAGATTTCCTTCGTATATCAGCTTCTTCTTCTCCTTCGACTTCTTCTGCAGAAACAGAGCTTCAAAATAATGTTTCTATCATGATGTCATTGCTCTTTTTGATGATGTCATGTCCCAATAGTGTATCATGGACTAAATATCACGTTCCATTGTATATCATGGACAAAATATCATGTTTTCATAAAATTGCTTTGGGTGGGAATTGAACTATGAACCATTTGCTTTGCTTAGCAAGGCTTCTTCCATCTCGACTAAATATCCAATTAATATAATCCAAGACTTAAATTATTTTGTCTCGTCTCTTCCACATATTCTCCACTAGCCTTACCACACTGTGATGTCATATTACTATCATGATATTTTCTTGTGACATTATCTCCTGATATTGCTACTTCAGGATAGCAATTCATCTTTACACCAAAATTGCTCTCAATAAAAATCAAACTGTGGATCATTTTGCATTAGGCATGCTTCAACAAGTCTTCTACCATCTCATCCATCTCAACCTTTGGTGACTTGATGCTTCATAAATGTGTTAAGCTGTGATCCCGCTTTCATTTATTCTTCCTTCAAACTGCTTTCACGTAGACTTCATGTAGGCTTCATGGCAGTGGTGCACTATACTTTGTGAACCAGAACTGACTCAAATAAAATAAAATAGGGGTCTACAAAATACATTTGCCTCATCAAAACTTATACAATATATTCCTAACAAGGAGAGATTTTATTCAATAGCATTAAACCTGGCATTTATACTGATATTTAAATCGGTCTGTGTAACCTTCATCACAGACAACCATTACTCTAGAAATTAATTCTAAAATTTAAAATTGAAATTAATTTGTAACTAATTATGTAACATCATAATTAATTCTCAGAATGATACTCTGAAGAGTGGTTCGAATGGTTCAAAACGTGAGTAGTTCGAAAGATAACTATATCGAATGATACCCGAAAGCTTATGACGGGACCTTTAGTTTTGATGTCAATAGATGGCGCCAATGTTGGTTTTACGGCCTAGGGTAGCCGTTCGGCAGACCAACACTACTGTAAAATACTAGGGTTTTAGATTGGACTAAGAGATGTTGAAAGAGAGACAGAATAACGAGATGTCATTAAAGACGATTTTGACCCTTTACATGGTGACCCCGAGGTGGCACTAGTACAGAATGCACAATACGCGTCCAAGCAAATGGACAATACGCGTCCAAAGTTGTTTGGATGCATATGCAGGAGACGCTGATTGTTTAAACAATCAGCGTCCAAGGTAACTTTAATTTAGACGCGCAAAATAGACTATAAGCGTCAAAAGTTCAAAAACTTTGGACGCGTATAGTATTTTTTTTAAAATAAATAAACACTATACGCGTCATGAACTTTGGACGTGTATATTGCTTATTTATTTTAAAAAATACTATACGCGTCCAAAAATCTTTATTGGACACCTATAGTAATTTTTTTAAAAAAAAATTATTTTTTTACAAAATTACCAATATTTTTCTGTACATTCCAGCATAACTACCAAATAATATATTTCAACATTAATCAATTTAAGATGCACACTACACACCAATTCTATCAACTACTACACACCAATTCTATCAACTACAACATACCAATCTAAAATTTCAATTCTAATAACATTTTACTACAAATAAACTACAAATTCTAAACGTTAACAATTAAAATAAACTACTTAAGATGTAATATTGTGATAACCTTTATCAACCGCATAAAATATCCTCATGTGAATATGTGATACCACTATTAAAACCTTTATCAACCACATTTGGGACAGAAGAGTATTCAAGAACGTAAATACATTGGAAGATGATAGATTGATAGTCAATGAGAAATATAAATAATCAAAACTGCTGATCTGATGAGTAAATCCTTACCCACGCCATGTGTCCATATATCAATTTTCACGTTGTTCTATTCGACAAGATGGAGATCTGGATGATGACCTGCATCCCAGAACAAGAAATCACATTTACTAAGGAGGTTAAAGTCATCTACAAATGAAAGCAATCTATTTGTGGAAGTTTTCACTGAAAGAGAAAGAAGGTAAGTGGTAAAGGGGAAAACCAATTTGTCTTTCAGTTTTTTAACTCAATTGGTATAAACTACAAAATGCAGATAACATTTATGGTAGCATTCAAAAATCACTGATTAATGATAAAACGAGGCAATTTATAAGTACTAAAAGTTTGTAGTTTTAAGCTCTACAATTTAATAGCAAAAAACAGAGAGTAGGCATAAGAACAGTAATGGGCATTCAAACCTGTGACATCAATGTATTTGCAGTTTCTTCAGTCATAGGCCTCAAATACTTTGTGTTGCATGGCACGCATTTCTTGATTGACAAATCTGACATATCAACCAAACAATAGAAAAACCACCCTTTTAGTACCCCATTCTACAGCCACCCACTTAAAAAAAGGAAAAATTAGAAACAAAAACAAACACGAATTAAAGGAAAGAATCAAAGAAAAAACAAAAACATGATTTCAAAGCGAGAAGGATCATGAAAACCCATAAAAATGTAGGAATATAACTAACCAAAAAATAATGGTATGCCCTTAAGAATAAGAAAATCAGAAGATTATTATGCAGGTTTGTCTGCTAAATTTTAAAAGTTTCTATTCCAAAAATAAACCCTTTCTCCTTCCTGTGGAAGTGTAACAAGTGGTCCAGCACAAGCATGCCAGAGTTCCTTGTACAAAGGATCATGTGAAGAAGCTGTAAAAGAAAAGCAATTGGTGATATAGAGAGGGTAAATTTAAAGGAAAGGAGAAATACAAATAATATGACTTCAGATAAACCCGAGCAGTTATTTCTTTCTATCACCATTCCAAATTAAATAATTGAGGTTTTCTAACACTATCACAATGCAGGGCATTTCATAAGAGTGACGAGATTAAATCAAGTATCACAAACAACACATATAAAGTCATCATTATATACCAGAAATAATTACATACCAAATTAACATGTCTAGGCAAAAAGCACAAAAAAAGTCTGAGTATGCAATGCCTTATTGTGACTTTGCAATCAATGATAATATAG